TACATACCTGATGACACTACATATTATTGTTTTATTGTGCCTCACTGGCATTCTCTAAATACAGTGCGTTTTCTGAGTAAATTATTTTCCTATAGGTTAATGGTGTGCCAATTTCTAGAGTTTTTCACATGCTGCTGTTAAGCTATGCACTGGACACAGTTGTATATATACTTGTTATACTCTGTGAGTCTTGAGCTTCTTATCAGAAATTTGTGTATATCACAGTTGCTCCAAAGGTGACTTGAATTGCTCTTTAACAGTGGAATATTATATTTGCTAAGGAGAAAATATTCCCTTCTGTTTGCCCTATAAATGAACTGCTGCATACAATTTATTTAATATGATCTGTGAGTACATAATGATTGATTACTACTGATTGGGTTGTAAATGGCATCTTTTCTATATAAAATTTATTTTAAGAGTTTAAGCTATAAATTTTAAACGCATATTCAACTATTACTGTTTATTGGCTTCTTGATTATAACAAGGAGTTTTATAGTGTGCAATAAAGGAAGAACAACTGGACTTTTGGGTTTTCTTTTGACTGCAAATAAAAAGTTTAAGAAGTCAGTGTTCTTATGTGACTTATGTTCTTACGAAGTGTAAGTTCTTCTCCTTTGTAATGCTGACAAGATGCACAGCTGTGTCTATGCTCATAAGGAAAGCCAGTGATCAGGCTTCAGTAAAGATACAAAACTGAGATGGAACATCATCTTATATTCCTAACCTGTTGTTTCAAACTGTGCTTTTGCAATTTTCATTTATTCTTTTTTTTTTTTATTTATAGTAGCCACTTGTTGTTCAGATATGTTTGGTTACTACATATCTTTAGGGAAAACTACACATCTGCTCAACGCTTGAAACTCAATCTTAAAAAGATATAAGCCTATAGATTGTACATACCTAAGATCCAAGACATTTTTTTATAAATGAGCACAGGGTATATTTACAACTCGGAGGTCCAAGGATTTGCCTTCAGCTTCTGTAGATGCCTAATGGAGCATGAGTTCTCTGGAACTGTGCAACTATTTGCCTGATTCCAAAAATAGTTACTTGGGAGCACTGTGGTGACTGGCAGCTGGAATGAGGTTTTTTACACCCAGTGCTTACCGAATAAGCTGTGGTCTCATTCTTTAATCATGATTTCACTCTTTGCCTGTTATCTCTTATAAAGCAGGCCTGTTCTTAACAAGGGATTCCTTTATTGGCCTTTCTGGATCTTGTAGTTTACTGTGATATTTTCACGTTTGGAACTTGGGGATTTACCTGGGAGTGTTGATGTAACTATGATGAAATGGCTTTTTGTTAGTGATGACAAGTCTTTAATGACTTTTCATTCTAATGACTTTCACTACACCTGGGATTCAGGGTCAGACGCAGTCTTTTATATTACATAATAGCCCATTAACTTTTCTTGATTCTTTGCTGTTACACTCCTGAAAACCAATATACTTAAATATATACCTGAATGAGTGCGTTGTGTTTATTCAGAATTATTTCACATGGTGTAGAACATTCAAGTTAGGGCACTCTGTGTTGGTTTTCTGTACTTTAATTATCATCAGAAACGCAATGTGAAGACTATTCATTGAGCATGGAAATCAAGATTGATAGTTTGAACTGATTGGACCTTAAGTATCACTTCATTAAAAAGTTTCTTGTATCTGAGGTCTGCTGCAGTCGCAGGACAGGTGAGAGAGAGAGATTGACCCTTGACATTTGCAAAGTTAACCTCAGGTACAATTTGGTAAATTTTCTGCATCATTTGCTTTTGTCATGGAGAATGGGAAAATATTATCAACCTCTATTACCTTTGTAGATAAGTTCTTTTGATGGTTCTTTTATATATCTTGGTCTAGTGTAGGACTGGATTGTAGTATATGATAAATGTATTCTTATGTAATTGGTGTCTTTCAGCTGTAAAATGGTTATTGCTTGTGTCTTCTGAATGACATATTGGTGATTCATTCTCTGTTTTCAGCTATAATGTCACCGAAGTATTAAGATAAGCCAGCTATTTTCAATCTTTGTGACATAGAAACAACATAAACAGCTGAAACAGGAGTACTGTATATGGCAAGATTTTTGTTTGTTTGCTTGTAATTAGTAACAGCTTATGGATGGTTGCTCACAGAATGATAGTGAGCTGTTTTTAGCTATTTCTGTTAAAATGAAGCAGAATACCCTCCAGTGACAGCAGTGGACCTACAGATCTTTCTAGTGTTATTCATCTAGCATGAGGGACTTTTGTCTTTAAGGGAGGGGAGGAAAAATCCTCCATCATGAGGCAGAACAAGTTAGGGAGTGGGAAAGGATCCAGAGTTGTTAGAAATTCTGCCCTAATTTATCCAGGCGTTTCTATTGTCACTGTGATAAGCATAAGCTGGAAAAAAACGTTTCCAAAAATGGCTTGACATGTGTAGATACTCTGTGAACTCCGTTCCAGAAGCTGATATAAATGTAATGGAAAGTGAGATCATTTCATTTCCGAAGAGGCTTTTACAGTCATCTCTGTTTCCTGGGTAAGTATTACCCTGAGATGTTTTTAATGTTATAGTTCAGTCTTTCAATGCCTTGCTCGACTTGGAACTTGGTCTGGGATTTCCTAGGGCTGTAGATGTTTTTTTCTCTTTCTAAATTGTGGGTTTGGATGCTGCTTGCATCAGTCACTGAAGTAATTCCAAAGGGACCTAACATAAGGAGATTCACGTTGGTCCTTATTGCAGAGAAATATAGCAGAGCTTTCTCATCGCTCAGCTGATGAGACATGTACAATGAAATCTTTTTGATCTATCGGAAACCTTGAAGAACCAATGTGTTGTAAGTTCAGCAGCTAGTTCTGAGCAGCAACAACAGAAAAATGTATTGGTGTGAGCGCGAGGTGCTCCTGAATTTATACTGTTGCATTTATTTTTCTCCCAGCGTTTTGTACCAGAGGACTACATACGCTGTTTTTGATAGGATGAAGGCGATCTTGAAAGTTAATTGTGCTATGAATTTCAGTGCCCCCTCAACTTGCCTAAATTTGTAGCAGGGAAGGGAGGAATGGGTAGCTTTTTGTGGGACAGACTTTTGCAAGGCTGAGGCTTAAAGTTTCAAAATAGATGCGTGGTTGTATTGGAAATAAGTCATTCAGATAATCGGTCATGTGAATGGTGAAACTACATAAACATAAGGATTTGGTAAGCAGTAAATATCTGAAAAAAATAGCTGCTGCATGGAAATTACTAAGCCTAGAACTTCAGCAACTTTCAGATAAAATATTTCAGAATATTTCAGAATATTTAAGGTTGGAAGGGACCTCTACAGATCATCTAGTCCAACCTTCCTGCTCAAGCAGGCACACCTAGAGCATGTGGCACAGGGTGGCATCCAGGCGGGTTTTGAAGACCTCCAGAGTAGGAGACTCCACAACCTCCCTGGGCAGCCTGTTCCACTGCTCTGTCACCCTAACAGTAAAGATATGGCTCAATAAAAAAAAATATGGCTCAATCTAGGACAGGTTTGGAGGTTTGTTTTCTTTTTGGGTTTTCCTTCCCTTTTGAAGTAGCACTTGCAACCAGTTCTGTTTTCTTATGACAAAGCAAATCTTGCAGTTACAGGCAGATCAACAGCAGTTACATATTTTATTTTAAAATACCTCCACATCATACTTTTGATTGATGCTTCCATCCCACGTAATAGTCACGTCTTTGCTTCATAAAGGGCTTGGGAAAGGCCTGAATGGAGTGGGGCAAGGTGTACCACAACTGCTCAGTTGTCTTAGGACATATATCTATCATATATCTAAATCTTCACAGACTTCAGTGTTATTGCCATGGTCCTTGTGACAGCACAAGGGAAAACTCTTAACTCCCCAAATGTGGGGAGAACACATACATTGGTAGCAAGAGGGACCATAAGGGCAGGGAAGGAAAAAGAAAAAATTTCTTCCTCCTTGACTGCCTAAAGAGGCAATCCTGCAGTCCTAAAAATAAACAAGGAATCTGAAACAGGAGTCATAGTGAAGTTGAGGCTCTCCCTCCATGGGAGTTTTGCCACCAGTATCAATGAGATCAGGACTTTATTTGATGTGTTGGCCAACTGCTGAAGTTACCTTGGGTTCGGTCAGCGGTGCCAGCCGTGTCCTATTCTGTTTCTCAGAATAACCACTTAGATAAGGTATTTACCATTTACAAATATGGAATGGGTCCTGTAGGGAGCACTTAACAGAGAAGCTGTCATTTAAAAACACGCAACAAGCATTTCCCTGAAACTTTTTGGTAGATTATTTATAGCTGTTTGCTTAAGACTGACAACACTCAATTCCAAAAATGCCATTAGGGAACAAATGTAATATTTGAAAGAATGAATGCTCTGTATTTCTTACCTACTACTTAATGCCAAGAAACCTCAACAATGCAACAACTCCCTTACCTTAAACAGCTTTCTAGGTAACTTGTTTGACTGGACTTCAGTTGACTGCATCAAAATTTGTAGGAGAGGGTAATTGTAGGAGCTTTTTTGTTTAATCATTTCCACTGTATATTTTTACTGCTCTCCAGTCATAGCAATTTATCCAGTAGATGCAGATAATTAACTTTTAGCATATAATTAATTTACCTTTAACAAAATATCTAGAAGATGATTCAGTCTTGGAAACGATGGGTTTTCACCTACTGAGGTGCAAACAGAGGTGAATGCATATCCATTAACTGAATTTGTCCCAGGGTGACAAAGTCGATTAACAGAACATCATAGGCCTCCTTGAGGCTGCAACAGAGATTTCCCTTCTGGGACTGAAAGCTCAATGTCCTGATTAATTTGCTTCAGGAAGGTCTGTTCAAGTTGAGATTTACGTGAGTACTTAACATGCTTTGCAAGATTTAGACTATAGTAGGTAGACGTTACTGTTAAGGCATGTTTTCTGCCCCCCCCTCCGAAATTTTTTTAGTAGTTACTGTTTAAGCGATGGAGTGCCCTGTTCCCTTCCATCTGCTCCTGCCACCGCTCTTCCATTGCTGTTTTGCAGCCAAAACAGTGAGGCGCTATGTGTGACGAGGACGAAACCACTGCCCTGGTATGCGATAACGGCTCTGGGCTTTGCAAAGCTGGGTTTGCAGGAGACGATGCCCCACGGGCTGTATTTCCATCCATCGTTGGACGCCCTCGACATCAGGTCAGTTGGCAGGGAAGCGACAGTGCTGTCTATTTTGGGTAGCAAGATAAGTAAAGCATCACTGCTGTCCCCATCCAGGCCAAACTCTCACCAGCCTTTGTGGGAATGCAGCCTGTGAAGGAGGACAGGACTGAGCTGCACTGCTCAACCCTTTAGAAAAGACGTTCTCTGAATATCAAATATGGGCTACAGAAAAACAGGAACCTGTTTGGCTTGTATGAAGATGTCTTACAGGAAAAAAAACAGTGAAAAAGGATTTAAACAAAGAACGGATTGGGTTGGGATAGTCACTGGCTAAAAAATTTCATTGTACGTAAAGCAATATTAGAAAACTGCGTATATCTCCCACTGTAAATTCTAATAATAGTATTAGTATTACGGCCAATAATAATAATAGCTAATCCACAACAGTGTGTCAGCATTGTGCAAAACACACTGATTTGAAAGGGCTGGTTACTCCCTTGTTCGTGCCTGGTTTTGAAAATCTGTGAACATTTGTACTTTAGATTTCAGATTCTTTGGCTTGTAGTCCTTTAATAACTCTTATTTGCTAGAAAGCCATGAATACAAAGGAAAATTGAGATTGGCAGAGCTTTGCAAACAGGAGACAAAAAAATGAATAGTTGTGATAAGCTCCTTTTGTTGTTCCAGTAGGCACCAGCAGGCCCATTAAATTTCCCAAAATGTAGGTCTCTAACACTTCACTTTATCAACTTAGCACTAGAAAAAACAAATGTGGCTTTTCTTGAACTGGAAGACAGTCTTACTGCTTAGCTGCTTCTAATTGTTCCTTTATAAGACTCATATTTCCTTTTTTATTTATATCTAAGATTTAAATTTTCTGGTCTGTAAAAATCCTTCCCTCAATTTCCCTGTGTTCTTTTGAGGAGATAAATAGGCCTGGTTTGAGGGGCACATAATACTAAGTATTTTACAGAATGTGTTTTAAACAGCTCTGTAAGTTAATAAAGTTAAATGCCAGTTCTTGAAAACATGTCCATTCTTTAACCTCTAAAATTGTGCACTGGCTTTTATTAATGATTAGAGCTGACATGTAATTTTACACAGTTAAGCAGCTCAGTGGCTGTAATACTTAATGCATCGAAATAAAATGTATCCATGGAAGGAAAAAGAAAAAAAAAAAAAAAAAAAAAAACCTTCCATGCCAGCTGCTGATTAATAGTGTGCTTAATACGTTAGTAATATTTGGGGCAATTGTGATAGACCGCGTTAGTGAATGCAAACAAGATAATTTAAATAAAACTATTTTAAAATACACTAGTTTTCTTTCCTCCAAAATATGCCTCTTTTTTGTATAATTTAATAGATCTGGAGCGCTGTTTAGTGAAGTATATTTTTCAAAAATGTGCATTTTTGATTTTTCATGTGTTCTAGGCAGGTCTTCCAGCAAAGAGAAATCTTGCTGTTCAAAGACAGTAACAGAACTGCATAGGTATGTTTGTAGACACAGACATAAAGTAAATCTGAGGAGCAAAAAAAGAGCTTATATGTTTTTTAGTTGCAAGTCCTTTGCTTTTATTTCTTCGTACAGTGACAAAGGGCTCACCCTTTCTGGAGAAATTAAGTTCTGCCTGCCTTGCCTAGGTTCCCACAGGACATTAGTAGCACCAATTGCAGGGTAACTTTCTTCATTTTAGCAGCTGCCTTGCTCTTCCTGGGGTGTGTTTAGAAGGAATTGGCACAGGATAGATGATTATCACAAAATTCACATTTTAGGTTGGTGTACTTTTTTAGCTATGTGAAAATACTTCTGAAATGATGGTAGCAATAGCAGGTACAATATTGTATGTTATGTATTAATATGAAAGTTATGGAGCTAATACTCATACTTTGTTGTCATACTTTGCAGGGCGTTATGGTTGGCATGGGTCAAAAAGACAGCTACGTAGGGGATGAAGCACAAAGTAAAAGAGGGATCTTAACCCTGAAGTATCCCATTGAGCATGGAATCATCACTAACTGGGATGACATGGAAAAGGTATGTGTTTATTTTTTAATGCAATTTTATTGAAGCATCATCTTAGATAAGATGTCCAACTTGCTATTAATCTTCCAGCAAACCAAAGGAGAAATCCTTGAAGAGATTTTAATTTAAGAATAGATACAGTATGCTATTGCAGAAGCCCAAGTGTTGGTCAGAGCTTGGCACTCTACAGTTATTTTTTCAGTAGACTTATAAATATGCTTATTCCTTATCACATTCTATTACTTATATTAGGAACAAAAGCCGTAAGTACGAGGGACGACTTTTGCTTCCTTCGTGCCTTTACAAATGAGGTCATAGACGATGCTCACATCCTGTGCTCATGGATGACACTCTCTCTGTGTCAATTGAAGACAGAAAGACAGAGCTTGGCTTTCTATCCCTATATTATTTCTTTGAGAGTTGGAAACAGGGATTTTTCCCTGAAGTAAGTTTTTCTGTTGCCAAATTCAGTTGCTGTTTAGTATCCTGATGGTGACAAAGCTCATTTATTTCCCGTCAAACACATTTTTAGGCCTTTTGCCAGTATAATGACCTCTTGGTGAAATGTCCATTTAAGGATGTCTCAGACCAGGCACAGGCAATGGGGTGCATCCTAACAGGCACTGGAGACACAAAAGCCCAAAGGGTGCTACAGCCTGACTAAACCCCTCTGATGCCCCACTTTTCTTGATCTTTGGAGCAAGCACCTGAGTCTTTACATGTAAATACTGTGTGTTGTTTTCAGAGGCAAATCTGTGGTTTAGTCTTTTGTCATTTCCAGGTGTAAGAAAACTTCACAAATACCTCTAATATTGCCTTCTATTTTGGTGGTGAACACCACTGAAAGGAAGACAAATGGCCTGCATTGATTTGCACTTGTGCTTGCTGAGATTAAGTGTGTACGTATATCTAAACATCACATATATTAATTACTATATTATGTCAATGAACCCAATTGGATTATTGCGTCAATGGAGTGTCACAGATGAACAGACTAAAATTAATACAGATGCAATGGGAGTTTTGTTTGGAAAGAAATTGCCCCTCTCCTCCTCTAGATGGAAGCATAGTGATTGCATTTCATTATTTCATTGTTGCCTGGGAGGACAGCTAATCTATTCTGCAAAGTAGAAAGTCTACCACGTGTTTTCCCAGATATTGCTATCCCTGATAATTATCTGCATGTAGCAAGAATGTATATTTTCTTAATACAACAAAAAGGAATTGAGAGAGGCAGCAGTGGGCACTATTTTCTGTTCTTCCCTTAGTGATTGATCCTCGCGCCTAAATCCCCATGAATATCACACATAACTGTATGCCTCTTTCTGGGCAATGCTCAGTGCTAGGGCAGACTGCCCAAAGCCTGGGCAGGAAAAGGAATCTAGGCAGAGAAGTTACAGAAAGTGATGTGTGCTTTTTTGCGTTGAGATGGTGTGGGGTCTCTGAGGGTGCTCAGAGGTGGAGATTTTGGGCAGTGCTTTTAGTTCAGTAACAGCTATTAGGTATTTTATAGGTTCTTACAGGTTGCTCATTTTGCTGGTTTGGCACTGAAATTGGTGAAAGAACCACTAATGAGCAAGAATCGGGAGAAAAAGAGAAAAAAAAAAAAAAAGAGCAGTGCAAGAGAAAGATAGTAGAAAAGAGGCAAGAGTAGAACAACTTCGCTAGCTTTTACAATTGCAAATATGGAAAAATATGGAAATTACAATTTGGAAAAAATATGTAAATATGGAAAATCTTTCTTGTGAGCATTCTTGATTCATTCAGTCACGTGTTTATATGAAAATCTCAGCATCCACTGAGGCTGTTTTATAATGGACACGCACTTGCTTCTAAGTGAGGAGGGGCAGTTCTGAACGTTCTGAAGCTAAAGGAAAACCTTTTATGTACCTATACGTATTTTTCATGATTTCTAAATCATTTTCATTATTTTGACCTGAACCACAAATTTATTCTAAAGAAACTCTTGGAAATAACAGCTCTGAAACCTTCACAATATAGAAGAAAAGCTTTACTGGGCAAAGTGCCCAAAATGGAACAAAAACATCAACACAATTACAAAAGGGGCGGTCACCAACAGATTAGACTTGTGAATAAGTGAGCGAGTGTGTGTGCATGTGTACGAGAGGCAGTGAGCGAGGATGCTGTGCGATGCGTAGAGGCTCTTGTGAATCCTAAGCAGAATATGTAGGCGACGAGACGGAGCATTATTCTTCTCGTGTGCTTCAGTTCACAATATTCAAATTTGGACTGCTCCATTTTGCCGTGGATAATAGTGCGGGGCACTGTACATCACTGCCAATTTGTCCACAGCCACTGAACTGATAATGTATGGGGGAGGAAACTTAAGAATGGAGTGTTTTTTTGGCTCTGATAACTGCATAAATGTCTAAGCAAGTGTTAGAATAATCCTTCCTCAATAGCTCTTCTTTGCTGCTGCTGCTTGATTCTTATGACCTATAAAACACAACATTGGACTTTTTTTTTGAGTATTAATTATCATCAGATCTAATAGTCTGTGCCTAATCATCCCTGATATTGAGGAACACCTGCAATGTGATAAAGGTTTTGGCAGGATTCAGCTCTACTAATACTGGATTGTTCCTCACTGTAGAAATCTTCAGTAATTTCTAATTATGTGAGCAAAAAGGTTTCTTTCTCTCCTATATTCACTCCTTTTCTGACTGAAATTGTGATCTCCTATTTCTCCTAATAACTAACATACATTTTCCCTTTTTTAAATTTTGCATTACTTCTTTATGTTTTATTGAACTTATCTCTACTTTTTCTTTTGTATCTTCAAATGGACTTGGTCTCTATTAGAAATCTCACTTCAGGAAATATCTGATTTTTAGGAGATTGAGAGAGATTTGCTTTTTTAGGAGTAATAGTTTTCTTAATGAATAATTCTAGCTCTAGATGACTGTAGACTTTGGACTGTAGACTTTGGAGGCTGCAACTCTCAGTTGCAGCCTATCTAGTTTAGATAATATCTTTTTTTATTGAAGTTCATTTTAGAGTATAACAATGTCTCAAGGATATTTTATTAAACAGGTTACCCACTATAATATCCTGATGCTTTGTACTCCAGCAAAGGAGTTCCTTTATTCAGACAATGCTGGAATTAAAAATAGGAAGAAAGGAAGAAAAAATAAAAAGAAATGTAGGTTAGAAACACGTAGACAAGGAATCTTCTAGCTGACATCAAGAAAAAAATGACTTCAGTCCCCAGTGCTGTAGTCCTCAGACAGTGAGGGTCTCCCTCTACCGGAAGAACCATCAAAGCCAGTGGTGTCTGATGCAGGTAGCACCTTTCACCATGAAAAATACTTCATAGACTGTGACTAATACATTTAGTTAGTCTATAAGGAGTGAGAGTTTGATCCAAAATTTACTGAATGAAATGTCCGAGTCAAAGAGGGCCTTGCACTTATGTGGAAACCTAATAGATATATAAAAAAACATCTTAGCAGAAGCTCATGACATATTCATGGGGAAATTCAGTCTCCAAGCATCTCTTCTCCAAGAGAAATATTTCCAGATCTAACAGTTCAGTGCCTGGCCCAGATTCTGTATCAAAACACAAGGTCTGTGTGTTGCCAGTGTTCCCATTTAGAGGGGTTGATGCATGATCTGTCTAGGGAATCCTCATTGAAAGGGCTCCATTGTGTAAATTATATACTGTGATTAATAATAGCCCAATTTGACTGGTTCACTTTTGCATCTTTTTTCTCCGTTTTAGTGTAGCTACTAATATGTTTATGTATATATGTAATATACATACATACAATTTCATCGATATTATATACAATTACAAAATTTACTGAAACTGTATCTGGAAAGCCTTCCAAAGCTGAAAACCTTTCTATATAGTTCTGTTATGTGGACAGATTCTTTTCCAGGACGTTTTTCTCAACTGACCTTTCATTTTAGATTTGGCATCATTCTTTTTATAATGAGCTTCGCGTTGCCCCAGAAGAACATCCTGTGCTGCTGACGGAGGCTCCATTGAATCCTAAGGCCAACCGGGAGAAAATGACTCAGGTAACAGTCTGTTACTTTGTGGGACTGTTTTGCTGCAAATAACTTCTGCACTGAAGCATCTAAATATCTTGGATATTCCATTTTGTCCTTAATCTGGGAGATAATCCCTTAAAGTTAGTATCAAGGTGCACTGGTTAAGTTGTGAGAGAGCTGGTGTTTCCCCTGCTCATTCAATATCAATCCCCTGGATGGCCATAACATGTTTAGTGTTTGTGTTTTAAAAGCTTATATTTAGTTCAGAAGAGTATATGTGTGTGTGTATGTGGAAAAGGGGCTGGATCGTTCTTGTGTGAGTTTGTATCAGTAACACCTTTTTTTTCCTACATCTAGCTACAGAGGATGCTTATTTGTAACAGCCCAGCTCGTGCTGTAGAAACTTAGGCTTTCTAGACTGTATTTGCTTCTGCATCTAACAGAATGCCAGCTACCATATTAAGCTTTTTTTCTTTATTTATCTTCTAAGATTTGAGTAAAGACATTTCTAAAGTACATCATATTTTTTTTTTTTTTTTTTTTAGAAATATGAACTGAAGCATCTCCTCTGGAATTAGGGGAAAATGCTCAAAAACGGAGCCTTTATGTTCACTAGGGAAAATGGATTGGTCTAATAGCATTCAGTCTTAAATGATGCCTTGCTAAGCATTTCTGACATGCTCAGCCTCTGATTTAGCAAATTAATATCAGAAGTGAGAATAGACCTCAGAGGTCTATTCCTGTTAGAACCTTTTATTAAGTCTATTATCCATTGACTTTGGAGCAACTTCTTGTTCAATAGTCTGTTGTAAATTTAAATGTTGATGCAATGACCAGTAACGCAATATAAAGAAAATAGAGGGGTAAGATCACCTGGAAAACTGGGTGTGTTTCCATGGTTCCCTTTGTGCATGCTTTTGGCGTATATCAAACAGGAAGATTATGCCTTGATTTAGCAATTGTGTAAATAAATGTATTTAAGTAGTGAAGTTGACAGCACTTATTACTAGGAAAAAATACAACTTGGAAATGATAAACAACAACAAAGATTAAGAAGAGCCTCTTTTGTAACTGTCGGGAAGTGTGAGTTATCCATAGGCATGTCTTTGACTGCTTCTTTATACTATTTATACTATAATTTTTATATAACTAATACTACAACTAGTCTTTATGCTATAATGATTAAATTCTGATTTGAAGGCTTTTTAGAAAAGCTTATTGTTTATCACTTACTGCATTAAATTTGTTACATTAACAATGAAATAACAATAATGAATATATTCTTTAATTGAAAGCATACAAAAAATGTACATCATGGATAAAGATACTCGCTTATGAATTCCAAAGTCTGTTTAACTCTCTGCATTGGATCCCACTGCTGTAGGCTTTTGGAAGGGGCAGTGGTGGATGTTGTTATCACATTTCCACTCGTGATGGGGTAGCATTGTCTGGAGAGTAGATGGCATTTATTTTATAAAGCAGAGTGTACCTTGTGCTCTCCAAAGTGTGTTAATTCATTGCATGTCCTTAATAGTTTTACTTAGCAGAGCCTTCAGTTGGAAAAAGATTTTATTCCACCCACTCAAATGAGATTGTAGTGGACTAATGCACAAGATGGGAAGTCGTGGGGCTTTTCAGAAGATGATGGGAAATATGTTAATATTTCCATAGAGAGGAAAAAGATATTTATTGTATTTGGTGAGGACAAAATGAGTTCTAATGAGCTTTAAACCAGAGCAAGTGAGATTTTAGTTAGAAACCAAGACCATCCTTATAATAGCATGGGTAGAGTATGACCAGAACTGTTTGCTGGAGGAATCTGGGAATACTGTAGCAGTAGAGTTTCTGGGAAAGAACAAAAGCTTTCATGAGCGGCTGATTCTTTCTTGAGACAGGAATAGATTAGATTGTTCCTCATGGTTTCCAGCTGTATATTCAATAAATCTTCAATATTTCAAACTGATGCATTGTTGTAATCCTGCCATCAAGATATAAAAGTTATCTCAAGGAGAAGTGTCATCTTCAGTCATTATTATAAATAAAAAGCTGACCTAACAGCCTGAGGTTAATGGAAAGAAACCCTTTGAGTTAAGTGACTTTTATTAAATCCTAAAGAAAACAGTGCACTGTTCATAGAAGAGCCACAGATCAGGAGAGGACCCAGGAGTAGTATCTGTAGGACAGTGCTCATTAAAAAAAAGAATTATTGTGTCATCACTTGCTCTTTACTGTACATCCTAAAGATATCTGTACTCTTAAATTTCAGATTATGTTTGAGACATTCAATGTGCCAGCCATGTATGTAGCAATTCAGGCAGTGCTGTCTCTGTATGCATCTGGAAGAACCACTGGTGAGTCTTTCTGGAGCTTGTATTGTCCACATGTCTCTTTCGTGTGCATGCATGTTGGCATATCCATACATGAATACGTATACATATATGTATACATACATATGTATACATACATATGTGTATACACCAACTATATATTTAAAAGTCTTTCTACTCCAAAAGCTCGAGTCACTAAATGAACATTCAGTTAGTTATATGAACATTTCTGTTGTAAATAAAGTTTGCATACTAATGTGAGATGATACAGTTTAATACTGCCCTTAATTGCTCAGCACAGAAAGAAACTGTGTCTTAACAGATTGTTTCAAGGCCACAGTTCCTTCTTACTTGTTTCCTAAAGACCTGTCTTTATTGCTGATCTCTGTTTCCAATCAACGAGTGAAAAATAGCCTTTAGTTGTTAAATGAAAATATGTGGTTTAATCATTGAATTTCATTTGCCTAACTTGATGCTGGCTGTTAATTGATCATTAGAATTAGCATGGAGATCTTTTCTCATTACCATTTAGAATCTGATCAAGCATTAAGATCATAAATTACTTCTTAGCAACCCTTGCGTCTTGATAAATGTTAAAAAAATGTTTTTGCAACCTAATGTCACAATCTAATTTTATATAAAAAGAAACAAAGATCTGAGATTGTTTTATGTTTACAACTCAACTGCTTGTATGTATTTTTGATATCAGAACTTTTATTCATTCTGAGTGGAAAATATATACTTCCCTACCTATCAAAGTATGTAAGTAGCATTGCTCTGCACTGATAAATTATTATATTTTACCTACTGAGATGGTTTATTTTAACGGTACACAGATTTTTATATAGTTTTTATATTATGCCTATAAAATGCTACGATTCTTCTGAAATGAGTTACTATGTATACATGTAAGATCATTATTGTTAGCATCTGTTCAGCAAGAACAATACAATCAAAGTGCTTGTTTTATGGTTTTTTTTTTTCCAAAGAGCAGTTTCCACTTACTTTATATGAACAATTTCATCTCATCTCACATGAGTAGATCTCTAGCTAGAAAAATGACAGAACAAAATGTCAGGCAAGAGTCTCTGTTTACCAGTTTCAATTCAGAATATGGAGAATATAGTGATTTTGATAATCAGATGCTTTTCCATTTTCTTTTCAGGAATAGTTTTGGATTCTGGGGATGGCGTCACTCACAATGTGCCTATCTATGAGGGTTATGCCTTACCTCACGCCATTATGAGACTGGATCTGGCAGGCAGAGACCTCACTGACTATCTCATGAAAATCCTTACAGAGAGAGGCTACTCTTTTGTCACCACCGGTAATAAATTGTGGGGCTTTTGCACCTTGAATGCACTTGCTGTGTTAATTATCCTGTTACACTGGAAGCATCTACCTGATAATATGCAAGAAAATTCTTATCAGTAGACAGACCAGAGAAAAACAGTGGATTTCTCCTAATTAATGCTTTCAGCAGGTATGTTGTGCATCAAGGATGAAGATCCTGGATCCTTTCTCACAGGAAATCTTGCTTCAGGATTTCAATTGAGAAATTTAAGTGATGGTGTTGTTTGGTCATACTTATTTTGCAAAGGAGCAAAGTTAGGAGATAGAAATGGATGAGTCTATGGAGATTTGATAAAGGTTTGTTGACAAAGGTGTGATAATCTCTACAATATCCTGTAGTACAGGAGTATGTATTTTATTTGCATGGAAGTAGATGAAAGTAGAAAGTGTATTAGTTGAGACAATAGAGAGGTCAGGGTCAAAAACAGACCCTATGGCCAAAAGGCCACGCACAGGCCTTTGTGCACACACAGAAACATTTGGGTCTTGTCTGTCACGTTGTATGTTGATGAAGAAATTGTCTGTCTACAGCGGAACGGGAGATTGTGAGAGACATAAAGGAGAAGCTTTGTTACGTGGCTTTGGATTTTGAAAATGAAATGGCAACTGCTGCTTCTTCCTCCTCTCTTGAAAAGAGCTATGAGCTCCCTGACGGCCAAGTCATCACTATTGGAAACGAACGATTCCGATGCCCAGAAACTCTCTTCCAGCCATCCTTTATAGGTGAGACAGGATGTTTCTCTTTCTAAGGGTTTGACAGAATATGGAAAGAATACTTTAAAATTTAAAGGAAGCTGTCAGCTGTAAAGGCTTTGAGATTGATTCTCAAATGTCCTTATAAACATGCAGCTTCTATTGACTTAATCAAGTTAGTTCTTTAGAAACTTTAAGTGCTGTTGCTGCTGCTGGCCAAAGATGCTTGTCAGTTTAGAGATATCAAAATTCTAAGATAATTTCAACTTTTATAAATAAAATACATTTTTTAAGGTGCTGCTTAGAGTACTGCAGAGCAGATTATGCTTATTGACTGGCTGATTTATAGCTGCACAATTCTTATAATGATTATGTATCTAGATACTGCTTCTGTATATCAATGTATTGTATTAATCTGTAACTCAACTAAACAAGCAATATCAAATCATATATTATTTTCTAGTAGTTTGATCTGTAATGCTAAAATTTCCATAATATATTCAATGGATGCCTGACATTTTATGTGCAACTCGTGCTGCCCTTAAACATTTCCTGCTTCCTGCTGAATGGTACCCACAAGGACCGAGCAAAATGACTACAAACACTTTGGCACTATTTCCATTAAATTAGATGGCAGAGCCAGCTCTATACGTAGAAACCAATCTATTCTGCATAAATATAGTTCCAAGTTCTGTATCTAAAATACTGAAAACTTACCGAAAACTTACTATACTGAATACTGAACATACTGAAAACTTATTTCCACACAGGGATGGAGTCTGCAGGTATCCATGAAACCACATATAACAGCATTATGAAGTGCGATATTGACATCCGTAAGGATCTTTATGCTAACAATGTACTCTCAGGAGGAACCACAATGTATCCTGGTATTGGGGACCGTATGCAGAAAGAGATTACAGCATTGGCTCCAAGTACCATGAAGATTAAGGTAATATTTATGTTAATACCTGCACCAGGCAACTTACCCTTCTTTTTTTTTGGAAAGTTAGCTCTTATATGCAAATCTAAAAATGGCCTTAAGGAAACATTCAGAGCTTGCTTTAGAGTCCTGAAATTAGCAGAAATAGGCTTTTCCTCCTACTTGCAAAACAGTTTGAAAGAGTAGAGAGGGTTGTGCTGGAGTAAAGGGAATTGCTAAGGAATGGAAGTTGGTGAGATCGTTTAAAGGAAAAGTGAAACAACGGTGTTGACTGACTTGGAGCAAGAAGAGTCTGTCTGTGGATGCAACAGTGAATTTTTCATTCGAGGTGGTGTTACTGTTTTATGTTACTTTACTACCCAAAATGAAATTTAAGTGCAATTCAGAGCATCTTTTTATCAGGCAACAGACTGCCTTCTGAACAGACAGGACGCCAAGTGACAGAAATGGAAACAGGAACACACAGAAGCAGTGATATGTCCACTGTATCTTAACAAACCAGAAACTAAGCTGGGAATAACCTGTAGGTTTGCTAGCCTTGTAACTAGTACTTGGCTTACTAGGACATTGCCTCTCAACCAATTTTTTTTTTTTTTTATTTTATTTTCTTACTTCAACTATTCAATCTTTAAAAAGAAGAATCTCCATTTTGTTCAGTGTTGTCCCACCGGTGGAAGCTTGGCTTAATTACTTGGCTTAATTTGGGACTCAGTTTAGTTAATCTTGTAAAGTTTTATTTTTCTTTCTCGTATTTTTAGTTTTGATGAGCGCTTTATGGGACATCTTCACATATCTCGTGACCTGCCATTATTTGTCTGCTTTCAGTAACACAAAAGCTCTGTTGACTTGAGCTGAAGACAGCAAATGTGGCTGCCTTTTTACCCTTTAGGTGCTTTAAGTCAGCTTTAATACAGGGTGTTTGCACTGGTGTGATGAGAGGATTTTCCCCTAGCTATTTGACCCAAAGCGATGTTACTGCGTTGTCTACTTGTCACGTTGCTTACAACAGGTTGTGCTTCTCTTCTAGATGATTGCACCTCCAGAACGTAAATACTCTGTCTGGATTGGGGGCTCAATCCTGGCTTCTCTATCCACCTTTCAGCAAATGTGGATCAGTAAAGATGAATATGAGGAAGCGGGCCCCTCTATTGTCCATCGCAAGTGCTTTTGAAGGCTTCCATCATGGATTGTCCGTGCCAAGTGTGCTGTTCCCCTGCATATCGCCTGCCCTCATTGATCACAGAGGGAACTACATGGTTTTACTGCTTTTCACCTGTTATAAAATGCACTACATTATGTCATACTAACCGGTATATTCTAATTTTTAATGCTAAATTGAGATTAACATTTTTGGGGAGGGGGCTGTAGCTCCAAGATGAATAACAGTATTTATACATTTATGTAGCATCCTGTTCAGCCCCGCACTGAGAATTGTGCTGCCATTCAGGAGTTAGCACATGATGCTCTTATATGTTAGTCTCTGCTAATTGATAGTTCATCTGAAGCATGCACATAATAGCCAATTATTTCAAGCCCAAACACAATGTGAGATCTAGGTACTGTCTGTTTATTTTATGCAGTTAAGTGATACACAGGATTTTGCTAAGGGGACGGGTATCAATATGCATGTCTTCTTTCAGTACAACTTGTGTGGATTTCTTTTCCTTGTATTCTGTATTGCCTCTGCCTTCCTCTGACCACCACTCCCAACAGGGAAGAGTTTCAACAAGCTGCATTAGATTTAGGTACTTGCTTGTAATGGGTTAACTTGTTGCCTTCTTCATTTTTCTCCTTTCCCAAGCAGTGGAATGATGTTTCATTTACTTGCTTTTGTGATATTTGTGCCGTCCTAACCTAACGATTACTGAGTAAATCATCTTTTAAGTATGTTAAGAAAATATTCTGGGTTTAATGGATCAATAAAAGAGTAATTATCCATGTAAGGCTGATGTGGTTTACGTTAATTTCATACCGAATATACTATCTGTTAAACATAGAAATTAGTCATTATTGTTTTGATTTTGTTATGAAAACTCTTTCATTTCCTCTGAGCATTCTAAATAAGCATTTGTAAATGAAAACAGAATTGCTTCACAGTTTCTGTAAAACTTGTATCTGTTTGTATGGCAAATTTCCATAAAGTTTTTGTGATGTGTTGTATGAGAGAGGAGAGCCAACGGTCATGTTTTAGTGTTTCAACTATCAGACGAGTTCACTGTTTATGATGCTGCCTGCCTCAGGTTCTGAACTGATGGACATGTAAGGCTTGATGTATGCTTTGTATTTTAAGTCAAATCTGTCAAGTTCTTGCACTGTGAAGTAGCAGATAAGATATATGCTTTTTTATAAACAAATATTTGTGAGGCTTAAGGATGTAGTCACTATCCCAAAATACCATAATGTGCTCAGCTGAGAATGGGATGAATTCCAGGATTGTTCTTGTGCCATTAACTGTACAACGTGTGCATGCATTCTCCCTCCCCTGGTCTGTCTCTGCTATGCTTTGTATTAATGCCTCCTTAATCTGCCCTAGATGGCCTTGAAGTAACCATTGCCGGAAAATATACTATTTTCCAAAGACAGGAAAAAGATATTACTTGTATTTACAGATTTTTGTCTCTCATAGCATGAGTTAAACTAGGAGGAAAAGCACATTTTTACTTGCTTTTGCACAACTAAGTTTTTCTTTTTGCAGGTTTTTTTTTTGGGTGTAGAAAACTTATTTAAGGACCACAGCATTTCAAAAACATTGAAGAAGCCAGGGCTGTTGCAAATATTTCCTGTTATCTGTAGAAACAGCATAATGGACAGTGTCCAAGTGCTATTGTTAAGGGCAATAAATGATTAAGTTATCTCAAATCAGATGATATTATTGTAGCAGTATTGTGCCCGTTTTTTAGCTAAAACTGATGCTACCAGGTACTCCTGTGTTAACGTAGGATAGAATATTTGGTTGATGTATGTTCTGCTGTCTTTGTGTAATAGCCTTGCGTGGACGTTTGTGCAAATGAGCAAGGCTTCAAACATGAGGGCATGCATATTCCTGTGTGGAAAATAGAGAAATGCAAAATTCCAGAAAGATTTCATTTTCATTCGTGTTTTGAACTTGGAACTCTGATTTCTTCATCCAAACACTGACTGGAGCAGTGGTTGACTTCCTTCAAGAACTGCGTTACCAGCCTGTAACTCAGATGTGCTCACAGTCCTCAGGTAGCATAATGTTCATAGCTGCTGTTCTGTGCAGGTGTAACTAACTGACTCTACTACCATTTAACCTTTTCTTTTTTTTTCTTTCAGACATGAATGAATTGTATGTATAGCCTCATATCAGTTTTGTATCATGGGGTAAGAACTGCTATATAACGAATCTTCAGGATGTTTTAAAGAACTTTATCAATTCTGACTAATGCTACTTCCAACAGTGGGTTATCTCATTTCTTTCACCAAATAGTCTCTTAATGGTAAAAGCTAAAAGGCCATTAAGGTACTGATTCTTTAAAGGCCTAAAGTTATCTAGCACAGTGAAAGGAAGAGAGCAATAAGCAAGAGAGAGATTGATCTCACCCTCATTCCCACTTTTGAGTGTCAGTCAGTTCAAATTGTCAGCATCCACATGTTCTTAAGCAAGGGTAAATCATTGCAAATTTCTCAGCTTCTCAATTAATTTCAGTTTGGGTGTTTTAACTTGGTCCTAGCTTATGTGATTGCTTGCTGCTTAAGCTGCTGATAAAGTGGATACATATAGAACTAACACTGTCAGCTGGTCTTATCACCTGTCTAAGGAACATATCTTCTGTGTTAATCTCAGATTCATGTAGGTGTGATGTTCAACAGCATAATCTTATGTTCTTGTATGTCTGAAATTTAGATACTTTTATAGTTCCCTATATTATCAAAGCAAAATTCCACCTAGTTTGCTAACAACAAATTTGTCCTGGCTTTATAAATCAGTGCTCCAGGAGCTAATAGATTAGCCAGAAAAGGAGACTTTCTTTCTAAAACGTGCTCAAACTTCGCTGAGGCTTTCAAATCAACTGTGGGATCAAAGATCCAGATTTATTGTGATTTTATCATATATATATATATATATTTAAGTATCAAATCATTTTCTTTCTTTTGACATTACTTGGCATGTGTGGAAAAAAAGGTTGAAGAATGGAGTGCACTACGTGACCTCACAACAGCAGACTTTTTAAAAACCCTTATAAAAATGAAATGTCTGATAAAATGAAGCAACAAGTCAAAATTTTAAATAAAAAAGGAGACCATATTTTAGATTTTGTAAATATATGTTGTTGATTTAAACACAATAGAAATATCTTCATTAGATTTCATAATATTCTTGCAGAAACAATTTATTAATGTCCTTTTTAGTTAGCTAATTTTATTACTAGTCTGAATAAGAATCTGTTATTGACAGTGACCTAAATTTATTAGAAATTAATTAAATTGCATTTTTTAAAAAAATCCAACTAATGCAAAAGGGAAAGTAAACAGCTTACATGGGGAAATACAGTTTCTCTTCCTCATTGCATATTTTTCTCCGCATCCACCATTATATCTTTCCTGTCTTCTGTAAGAAGTGTTGAGTCCACATAGAACAGACACTAATACTATTGCATTGGTGAGTATAGTTTATACAAAAAAAAAAAAAAACCCTCTCTCTGATTGTTTATGCTCTTTTACAAGTTCTTCTTTGGATGCTAAATATTCAGAACTCATCATAATCTCTTGCACTCAAGTTGTTTACCTTCAGGATGCAACAAAACAGATGAACATCCAAGGCATTTGTAGTTATTCTGCACGTAGCTGTAAGTGTTCTCTAGGATATTCTTCTTTCCTTCCTTCCGCTGGTCTCCATCTTTCATTCTCCAGAACAAAACCCTGTTCCAAATTCTTGGTTGGTATCTGTAGCTATAGGCACAGCTGGGGCTGAGGCTTGAGCTCTCGGGGGCTAGAATATGTATTCTCATTCTGCAGCTGGTTTCTTTTTCAACATGGAAGTGCCTGATTATGCTCTGAATACCTTCCTAACAATCTGCATGTGGAATCTTATTCAAAATTAAAATGCATTTTGAAATTAGAATTAATTATGTTCTAAGAACGAATACAGATAAAAATAAGAAAAACTATTAAGCTACTTCTGTGATTTGGCAGACCTCTGCTCCTCTGAGAGGAAGTTTATGTAGCCTCCATACAAGTCCTGCTTTTATATACCAAGTTTTACATAACATTATAGCAATCCTACAGAAACTAGGGAGTCACCCTGGCCAAGGAAAATGTTCTTTGTTGGTTCCAAACACTCAAATACTGTTACCCACTACTCCTCTCTTATCATTTCGCCTTAACAGCATCTTTAAACCCAAGGAAATGTTACATTTATCCTTTCAATGTGGAAAACTAGTTTGGCTAATGATAAATGTCTGTTGTTGAAAGAGCTACTATGGAAGCTATACCTTCTTTAAAAACATTCAAACCACAATTCTCTCAAGTTTAGGAGCTAGGTCTCTAAATTGGTGCAAAAACCTAATAGAGGTGGTGGGAATGCTGACTAAGCACACAATGATGTGGGCTGTAATATGCAAAGTGCCTTACGTGAAGAAATGCGCTGTATAAAGAGGATATTTGTATTTTGCAGAAATGTAAGGCCACAAAATTCTCCCATCCTCAGTCGCAATGTGCAATGTATATGGACATAAGCTACATAGAAACATCAGTGCCCCTAGAGAAACAGAGACAGCTCTTATTGGGACATGCACTGCTTGTATTTTTTTCTTGTTCTTTCAACAGTTAGGTTTTCTTTGCAGCAAAGCATGCTAGAAATGCAGAAAAAGACAATCATGTGTCTGAGAAAAGCTCAATACTTTGTATTTACCCTGTTCTCCTATTGTTTCAAAGACTAGAAGTAGGATACTATACAGTGATATGTATCCTATTCTAGGATATTTCAGCTGAAGGAACTGATCTGTGTGATTTTTGACAAAAAAGAAAAAAGAAGAATTATTCAGGACAGGTAGAATCAAGCTATCATAAACCTAGCAAAGCAAGGAAATTTATGCCCTTTTCCCTGGTATTTGAGATTGTGAGAGTGAGGTTCTCCAATGGATGTTTTTTCAGACTGATGTTGCATTAGAGACACGTAGTGCCCTGCTATGAGACTCTCCCCTCCGAGCCCTGCTGCTCTCAGGGGCACTAATACCTGGCTGTTCAAGTAG